ATGTTTTCCAATATGCATTACTTTACATTCATCAACACTGAATTTCATCTGCCATTTTGTCACCCGGTCTAGTGAAATCCCTTTGTAACTCATTGCTGTCAGCTTTGGACTTAATTATCTTGAGTAATTTTTTATTGTGCAAATTTTGCCATCTTACTGTTCACGCCTTTTTCCAGATCAGTTTTGAATATGTTGAACAGTACTAGTCCCAGTACAGATCCGTGGGGGTCCCCAATATTTACCTCTCTCCATTGTGAAAACTGACCATTTATTTCTATTCTTTGTTTCCTATCTTTTAACCAGTTACCGATTCATGAATAGACCTTCCCTCTCATCCCATGACTGCTTACTTTGCTTAAGAGCCTTTGGTGAGAGACATTGTCAAGGGCTTTCTGAAAGGCCAAGTACAGTGTATCAACTGGATCTCCCTTGTCTACATATTTTTTGACACCTCAAAGAATTCTAGTAGATCGGTGAAGCATGATTTCTCTTTACAAAAGCTGTGTTGACTCTTCTCCAAAATATTGTTCATCTATGTGTCTGATAATTTTGTTTTATATGATAGTTTCCACCAATTTGCCTGGTACAGAAGTTAGGCTTACTGGCCTGTAATTGTCAGGATTGTTTCTGTAGCCTTTTGTAAAAATAGGTGTTACATTAGCTACCCTCCAGTCATCTAGTACAGAGGCTGATTTAATCAACAATTTACATACCACACTTAGTCATTCTGCAATTTCATACTTGAGTTCCTTCAGAACTCCTCAGTGACTATCCTCTGGTCCCAGTGAAGTATTACTGTTTAATTTATCAATTTGTCCCAAAACCTCCTGTATTGATATCTCAGTCTGAGAGAGTTCCTCAGATCTGTGACCGAAAAAGAATGGCTCAGGTGTAGGAATCTCCCTCATGTACTCTGCAGTGAAGATCGAGGCAAAGAATTAATTTAACTTCTCTGAAATGTCTTCCTTGCGTACTTCTTTAGCACCTCGATAGTCCATTGGTCCCATTGATTGTTTGGCAGGCTTCCTGCTTCTGATGTACTTAAACATTTTTTGCTATTAGTTTTTGTGTCCTTAGCTAGTTGGTCTTCAAACTATTTTTTGACCTGCCTTCTTACACTCGACTTTTACACTCGACTTGACAGAGTTGATGCTCCTTTCTATTTGTATCACTAGGATTTGACTTCGAATTTTTAAAGGATGACTTTTTGCCTCTAACCACCTCTTTTACTCTCCTATTTAGCCATGGTGGAGTATTTTGTGATCTTTGTTTTTGTTTTATTTGGGGGATACATTTACTTAGAGCCTCTGTTAAGGTGTTACTAAATAGTCTCCATGCAGTTTGCAGGCATTTCACCCTTGTGACTGTTCCTTTTAATTTCGGTTTAACTAGCTTCCTCATTTTTCTTTCAAAGTTAAATACCACTGGGGTGGCTTTGTTTTGCATTTTTCTCCTACAAGGATGTTAAATTCAATTACATTATGATTGCTATTACCGAGTGGTTCAGCTTGGATCAGGTCCTGTGCTCCACTTAGGACTATTCCTCTTGGATGAGGTCCTGTGCTGCACTTAGGACTAAATCAAGAATTGCCTCTCCCTCTGTGTGTTCCAGGACAAGATGCTCCAAGAAGCAGTCATTTAATGTATTTATAAATTTTATCTCTGCAACCCTTACTAAGGTGATATATGCCCAGTCAATATGAGGATACATGAAATCCCCTGTTATTATTATGTTTTCTGCCTTTGTAGCCTCTCTAATCTCCCTGAGCATTTCAGAGTAACTGGTCAGGTGGTCAGTAGTATATTTTTACTGTTATATTTTTATTGTTCAAGTATGAAATTTCTATCAGTAGAGGTTCTATGATACAGTTTGATTCATTTAAGATTTTTAGTTTATTTGACTCTATACTATCTTTCACATATAGTGACACACCCCCACCCAGCACAATCTATTCAGTCATTCCTATCTATTTTGTACCTGGTATTACTGCATCCCATTGATTATCCTCATTCCACCAACTTTCCATGATGCCTATATTATCAATATCCTCATTTATCATCTAGTTCACACACCTTAGTATATAGACTTCTACATTTAGACTTAGAAATTATAAATCCAGTTCTTGAATTTCAGCTATGCCGTTTTACTGCCAAAATGGGAACCAAGGAACCCCTCAAACATTATTCATTTTCCTAGGTTTAAGGACTTCTCATCTTGGTGGGATTCCAAGCTGAAGGAGAAGAGAGGAAGGGATGAAGTAATAACATGCAAGATACTTTTAAACTAAAGTGACAAGCAAATAGAAACTGTTTGTAACAGAGCTGGAAACTCATTCAGCAAAGTGCTCTAGCTCAGTATTTTTATATAGCAGTGACATCATAAAACCATACTGGAAATATCACACTGTTTCAAAAACGTTCAAATGCTGTGGCAACATCTACTGAAAAGGGAACAACCAAAGAAAAAGTGAAGTGGGAAAGCAAGGGTGAAGCATGGAAACCTAGATCATTAGTCAAGTGAATAAATGCAGATGGAGTAAAATGAAAAAAAGCAGAAAATTAGGAAGGAATAAAAGAATACGAATAGATTGTTATTTAACTTTCGGTTTTACTTAAAGTAAAAGCAGCTTTTTTCTGTTATTCAATAGTAGTAAATATTGATTTCAGCACCCTATTACCACTACTAAAACTAAATTTGCGTATATTTCTCATACAACCTCTTTTGTTTGCTTGTTTGTTTTGTTAACTTTGGGAAGCCTTAGGGATATTTGTTTTTTCCTTTTAAAAACAGAGCTCAGACAAACATTTCACTAGACAGAAATTCACTAATTCTCAGCCATGTTTTTTTAATCATTTCAACTGATGCAGGAAAGTAAAAGCAACAGACTGCAGCTGCCTTCTTGCCATATCTTAAAGATATCTTTGTCATCTAAAGTGAAATTCTCCATGTGACTAATCCGTATGTTAACTAATCACTTTTATTATTTTTGAAGAAAACCCAAAAGGTTAAAATGACCCAGTTACTTCATTGTGGAAAAATGATCATAATATGCTGTACAGAAGTGTTCTATCTAAATAGCAAGGATTTGTAGTGCAGTCACATAACATATATTAAAATCATTACAGTCATTGGCAGCTCTGCGTCAATATTTTAGCTGGAGCACTGTAACTCTCACCTGCACATGGGCTCATTAAGGTCCCTATTAACAATGTCTCTCATACTCTGCTGGACTGAAGCGTAGACATTTCCCACCATGTCCTGTTGCTCCTCAAGTGTATTCTATGCAGACTAGGGGACAGTGAAGTTGCCCCAGAGGGATCCTTTATCTAGAAGATTTAAATGTATTAATTTAACTGCTGTGAAAAGCACATTGCATTGGGAGAAAAACAAATATGTTACTTATTTTTAATTTTCTGATTTTTCTGAGCAGAGCAGTGTCCCAAAGGTAGAAGTTCCAATAGGCACAACCCATTTGTCAGTAATCAGAAAATTAAAGTAACTCTCCTATTTCAATCTTCAAGAGACTGTGAGATTACAGTCTATTTTATTATTTATCCATTGACTACACGTATGCAAAGGGATAGTGCATACACATACTAGAGATTTCATCTTACAGTTAAATTATTATTAAAATGGGACAAGAGCAAACAAACAGTGGACACTCCTACCCTTATCTACACATGCATAACATCACTAACATTTTTGTCTCAGTATTTTTTTTATTATGATCTTATTAAAAGGGGCATTATATCTTAAACAAACTAATGCAAGTTCTAGTGATCTCAGGACAGTTATTCCAAAAACAATGCAGTATTTGATAATGAACATTTATAATCAGGTTTGTAACAAAAGTAATTCATCATGTAAACAAATGAATAACTCATGCACTAAATAAATATCTGTAATAGTAAGTACTGACATATCACTTAGGACTCAAACCAGCAAGCCCTCTGTACAGCATTGCCACTAAAATGAATGTTTTGGTCTCTATTTTTAATTTGAGCTGAGCAAATACCTCATGGCCAATAAGCTATCCAGTGTAATTAGAATTGGAATATACACAAGCAGATCAAAAATGTTGGTAGCTCTTCCAGGGCTATGACCGGATCACAGACATTTACCAGTGAGTATTCATTTTCTGATATTTGCTATCTGAGCTGTCTTGGTTAGTTGTGTGTGGTCAGATTAATCATGTTGCCTGTTCTTGGTTCCCTAATTGAGCAAGAGTCCAAGCACTTTAGACATAAATAGTTATGCAAATTTAAATTTTGGGTTCCATAAATATTTTCACATGTAACTATGAGATTTACTTTCCCCAACCATTTGTGTCAGCAGCATTGGACTGGCCTGCAGGAAAAGGAGAGAAGAGGAGTCCTCCCAAGGTGGTCTGGGCAATTGTAACTCATGCTCTATCTACTCACCTCCACCAGCACCACCTCCTTCTTCACAAAGATGAAGGGCGATGGCAATAGTCTTCTCTCACTTGACATAAAGGGGGTTGGAAGTACCACTGCCATCACTTCATGTTGTGATTTTTTTAACGAGCTCACCTGTTACAGTGCCTGGGGTGCCCTTTGCCTATTGCTACTTCTTGTGTTTGAACTTTGAATTAAACATACTACTGGACTATGAATTCTAGGGTGTCTCAAAGAGCATGCCTCCTAGTGTTTACCATGATAGTATGTTAAATTGAAACACAAGAGACATCAGAGGGCAACTGCGGCCAATTCCGGGCCCAAATCCTGTGTCCCCACTCTTCTCCACTGGTGCTGCCTTCTCCTTGCAAGGATTAATTTCTAGATTTGAATTCTACTGGGTCTTCTGCCAATTAGGAGGGATCTGTGGGATCTGTACTTAATCTGTCACTGTTGCAGTAGTCTTGGGTAGCCAACAGGTCTTCAGGCCTCTAGAAAATTTCCCTGCATGTCTGTACAATAAATATCAGTCACTTGGAAAGAGAATACAAAGGGACTGAACATATTCAAAACAAGTTTGCATAAACATATGAACAAATACTTGAGGGATTTTTATTTGCATCATTTGCCCAGCTCTTCTTGCAATATAGTTTGAAGTCAACTACATTAGTTATAATATACATCCAACATATTAACTCAAGCTTGGCTAAAATCTGATGGTTTCTTGCGTATGCTTTGCAAGTTGTTACCAAAGACTCTGAGTAAAATATTCTAAATGTGTGTCAAAAAGAAAGATAAAAAAGAAAATTTGTGCAAGAAAGCACCACCCGAAGAGAAAACATGAACAATGTTTAAAATGATTACATATTTTCCCTAAACAAAAAACCTAAGTATAAAAATTGACTTTATATTTATTTTTTCTTATGTTGGTTTCATTTTCAATACTCCACAGATCCATAATATGACAATTTCAGACTGTCCGGAAAGATAAATCTTAACACAGTCCTATAACCTTCACTAGAATAAATATATTGGCAAGGAACTTTTTGACCAGCAGTAGTAAATTTTCATACTTAAATAATTATTATTTTTTACAATTTTTGAAATTTTACAATGGTTGGTTTCTGAATACCAATATTAATGCACAAATGTAAAAAAGGCTATTTTAATTAACCTTTTGTCACCCTTTGTATCAAGTGCAGCTTTATGAAAGGAATGTAAAAGAAAATCATTTATATATTAGAGACTTATTTTAAAAAGAGACACAGCAACTTATTCTATGTTTTGAAAAAGAATACGGTTTGTCTATACTTTATTATAAATAATCATGTTCTGTCATAGTTTCCTCTTGCCAGCAAATGAAGGACATTGTTTCACAAAGCTTCTAAAATGTACATGAATATTTGATTAAATCATGTTCCCCTGACAAAATAAAGTTCATTCGCACAGAGCAGACAATAATGAGGAGCTCATTATTACAATAAGACTTTTAAGGACCTTGGTAGCCAGTACCAGTTGCATTTGGAAAGACACTCCTCAGTTTTTCTTTTTTTAAAAAATAAAGGTACAATCATAGTTATTCATTTACTTTAAAAATTCTTAAGATGAAGAAAAGTAGTGTTTATATATATATATAAGTCCTTGTATAAATTATAAAACTCAAGTTTATGTTACAGAGTTCCTTCCCCAGAGGAAGCATAAAGCACTTTTGTGGTACCTTCACCAGTAAATATTTGTATCACATTAAGTTTGACAAACACAACAAAGACTGATATTGCATCCTAAAGCCCAAAGAGAACATTCCTCCTTTGATGTAATCTCTCATGATGGATGTGCTCCATGGGATCATTTGACTGCCATGAGTTCAGTCAATTTTGAATAAAGGGCATAGGAAAGTAACACATCTAACCAGTTCTGTAGGAATTGGAAATATTAGTGTACAGCAGTCTCATCTTTTTTGAGGTCAACATACACCCTTTGGAAGACAAAGAGGAGTTTAAGAATATGAAAATAAAATAAAAAGAACAACAATGAGGTAAACTCCCCCAAAAAGGCAGAATGAGCTGGAATGTCAGGAGAGAGTTCGATTGTACCTGACACCTAAATGTTTTTCTAGCCAGAGTTCAGCCAGCTGCATGGTAGATGCAAATGTACTTGCTTTGGACCCCAAGCACATTTTATATTGTTTAGGGTCTAAATTGGGGTCACACTGAACTGGATGAAAAACATGTACAACTCCTACTTCTTGACTTCTAAAAGCCTTCAGCCCAGAAGTTATTACTTTAGTAAAGAGGTCTACATCCTCAAGTCCCCAGCCTTGAATTGAGGTATCAAATCCACCAGCACTCAGTAGATCACTTTTGTAAATACAAGTGATTCCAAATCCATAGTCTCGCCAAAATCCAGTTTTCTTTGTGAAAACAAAGTTATTGTCACCTGGAGGGTTGCCTCCATATATTACTTTTGGATCATATTGACTAAAGATGATGGGATAATAAACCTGCTGTCCTTGAACAGTATTATCTCTACATCGTTGGAGAAAGTCTGGTGTGAATATCAGGTCAACATCACAGAATAGCAGCAAAGTGTCATTGTCAAATTGAGATGAGGCCATTTCAAGACCTAAACCTCTGGAAAACTCTCCTGTCATAGGAATTAGGGTCATATCTGCCTTCGGATACTTATTATGATATTCTTTAATTAACTCTCTGTGTTTGCTGGAATCTTGGCCAGAATCAGAGCTGAACAGAATTACTGCCAGCTTTACATTCTGCCTGGGAATAACACAAGTCTTTTCAAAATTCTCCATAAATCTTAAGAAAATGTCGTATCTTCCTGTGAGAGGGACAAGAATATGTATTTTCTTGTCACTATGTCCTCCTATTTCTTTGGTGCCTTGAAATGATGAAAAAATCTTTAAAGAATTTGAAAGAAAAGAGAAAGACTGAGTATCACTGTTAATATTCTCTACAAGGCTTCTTACATCCAGTTCCTCTGCCTCTTTGAAAAAAGGCTTGCTAAACAATTGCTGAAGGTAAGCATGACGTCTCACTGGAACTGTAAGTTTTCTTCCTTTGTGTCTTTTGTACAAAAGTAGTAAATCCAGGATGTACTCCACTCCATGCATAGGATCAACCCTACGGTAGCCATATTGTATTTCCTTGAAATCAATAAGCCTTCCTCTAGATTTAGAGTTCTCATTTATCATTTCCATTACTTGCATCACTGTGTCATCCAATGCTGCCCGCAGAATGCTATTAATGCTTTGTCTGGGTGGCTGATTCTCAGCCACAGAGTAAAGGAGCTTCCCTGTCAGGAATTCCCATTCAATTACTTCATTCCTTTCACGGGGCTGGAAGCGACTGAAAGATGGCATCATTCCCAGCTGCTGATCTTCCTTATTTATTTCACTGTTACTGAGCTTGCTCATTAGGGCACTTTCTCTATGAAGCTGGATGGTGCGATAGCGTAGTTCTGAAATTTTGCGGCTCAGTATGTAATTGTGGAGTCTGTATTGGTAGGCTGGCCTTTTATTTGGATGAAGTGTTATAGCTGTGTGTATTTTACTGTTGTGAAGATCTTGGATGTAACCTTTCCGGTTGTGTTCATAATTTTCATGGAACAATTGCTGCATCTGGAGAGGGAAGAAAATAAATGCAGTTAGGTTGGAAAAATGTTAAAAAATGCAAGCCAATGAACACCTGTTAACTTGTGATTTACTTTTCACATCACAGTTTTAAAGTCAAATATTGAATATTAATCATGTATATTTTATTTATTATCTATTTAAATTCCAGTAGTGCCTACAATGGGCAAACAATGTCTCATAAATAAATAGACAACTTGTGCTTATCTTTACTTATTCCACCTGGAAACCCAGATATCATTTTTAAGTTAATGCATACAGTAGTAAATCATGTCAGCCGTTCTTAGTAGAATGTCAAAACAGATGATGTACAGGTTGAATTTTGCAAAGCATTCAATTCCTCTCATAAGCCTCTATCAATATATAAGCCATCATTTGTACAGATCCTTATTGCACAGTTATTACAAAGGCTGAGTGACTGAAACTTTTTTTTTTTTTTAACAGAAACTTGAATTTACATCAAGGTACAGCTGCACAGCTCCAAGTAGCTAATAATTCCTATTGCAACAACCAAATGGATAGAGCGTCTCAACACTGATTAAGCAAATTAACCTCATTTAATAAACTTGTTAGTTTTTGTTCCACCGAATATGATTAAGTGACTGCATTATAATCACTGGGATACAGAGCTCTGGCAGTGATGCAAACAGCAGCCTGCCCAATCAAACTATACCTGCCATGCTAGTATCATACTGTAACGCACTATTGATTTCTGAGGTAAGAACATCCTACTTCTGTCAGATTACTAATTGTAACTAATTATAACTAACTAGTGGTTAAAGCACAGGACCAGGAGTTAGAAAATCTTGGTCATATACCTGCCTATGCTACTCACCCACTCTTGAGCAAGTCATTCACTCTTTCTGTGCCTCAGTTTCCCGTCCTCATAAACTGTTCTGAATGTTCATTACTGTTTGTAAAATGCATTAGTACTCCCTTAAATGGGAAGCAATAAAGAAGAGTAAAATATTATTAACCCTTCTTAAATACATTTAAGTCACACCATCCTTTGCTGAGATAACAAACACTGACTTTAACTGGAAGCATGTTCCCAATAATATAACAGAAAAGAAAAAAGCAGGCTGTTTTCATTTTTTTTATTAATGGGAAACAGCCTGGTCTGTAATTACATTATATAGAAAAGGGGAAAGTGTTCATTAGATAGGAAATGCTGTTCAGAGCCTTGTTGGTGAACTGAGGCACTAATTAGATCTTGCGGTTTGTATTGAAGTCTGTCTTCTATGCACTGCACAGATCAGCAAAGATGACATCTGATAACAGAACAAACAATATCCCAGCTTCAAAATGTTTAACTAATTCACTTGATTACCAACCTCTCTAGAATGGGGATCCTTCTTAAATATTGTGCTACTCATAGATAATATTAACCTATTATGCTAAGAACCAAGAGGGCAAAAATGTAATAGGCCTATTAGCAAAAGATCCTACAGTAGAAAATACAAATCATAATATTTAGAAAAGATGTTATTAATTTCATGCATCATTTCAAAATATTGCTATTTCTTCTTCTTCTTCTTCTGTAAATGAGTTTGCTTGTATAAATAAAACAATTTAAAACAATTATTGTTAGTCACCTCTGTATTTGAGATCCACTTTGCAGGGTCCTAGAGCCTGGGCTCCAGCCTGAGCCCATACATCTACATCACAATTAAACAGCTCCTTAGCCCAAGCCTGACAAGCCCGAGTCAGCTGACACGGGCCAGCCACAGGGTTTCAGTTGCAGTGTAGACATACCCTTAGATGGTACGATCATCCTTAAATTTTTCCTTAAATTTTCAGTCGCATCCTTCATTGTTATCCTGCTAAATTTGTGGAGAAAAATGCTTTTTTGTGAAAAGTGGGAGGTGATGGTAGTGGTAAAGGACCTACTACAAAACCTACTTCTAGCCCTGGCAGCTGTAATTAGTATAGCAACCCTTTCTGTATCTTTCCATGCATTCTTGAAAAGCTCAGAATCCTGAAAGTCGGTAGCTATTACTGACAATATGTAAAATGTTTATTATGGTAGTGCCTAAGGGCCAACCAAGAGTGCGCACCCATTGTGTTAGGCACTGTAGAAATGCAGAGTAGTAAATGGTCCCTGCCATGAAGAGCTTACAGTCTAAACAGACAAGACAAATGCAGGATGGGGAGAGAGGTAGAACACACAAGCAGAGTGAACAATGTGATGGAAGCAAACATCATGTTAGTTCCATTATTATTATCTGGATGGGTACACTTAAGAGGGGATAAGTTAATATAAAAGAAAGGGAGGGTATGAGGGAGTGAGGAGACATGGCAGGTGAAAAGGGGGTAAGAGGGACAGGTGTGTAGTGTAACTGAGGTGAAGAGACTGTAAGGAAAAGGGAGGGGGAGAGAGCTGCAGTGCAGAAGGGATGAACAAACAGCCAATCAGCACAGGGCAGAGGAAATACAATCAAAACTATAGAAAGTTCTCTGAGTATCCAAAAGACATTCTACTTTGGCTACTTCTGCTCCTACTGGCTGGAGCCTTTGACTGGTTCCACTCTGCAGTTTCTCCCGAGCCCATGTGGTGGGGTGAGGAGAGGCACCACCTGAGTCCTAGGGGCTATGCGTTGATAGCCCTGTACAAGTCATTAGTGCATTGCAGCAAACTCTCATGTCCTTTGGAGAACAGGATTAGAATGCATTATGATCTTGATAAACTGGAGAATCTGTCTGAAATCAATAAGATGAATTTCAATAAAGACATGTGCAAAGCACTGCACTTAGGAAGGAAAAATCAAATGCACGGTGACAAAATGGGGAATAACTGGCTAGGTAGCAATACTCCAGAAAAGGATTTGGGGGCAATAATGGATCACAAATTGAATATTAGTCAACAGTGTGATGCAGTTCCAAACAAGTCAAATGTCATTCTGGGATGCATTAATAGGATTGCTGTATATAAGACATGGGAGGTAATTTGTACCCCTCTATTTGGCACTGATGAGGCCTTAGCTTGTCCAGTTTTGGGTGCCACACTTTAAGAATTATGTGGACAAACTGGAGAGAGTCCAGAGGAGAGCAACAAAAATGATAAGAGGTTTATAAAACATGACCTATGAGGAAAGGTTGAAAGAATTGGGCATGTTTAGTCTAGAGCAGTGGTTCTCAAACTAGGGCTGCCGCTTGCTCAGGGAAAACCCCTGGTGGGACAGGCTGGTTTATTTACCTGCTGCGTCCGCAGGTTCGGCCAATCGCAGCTCCCAGTGGCCGCGGTTCACCGCTCCAGGCCAATGGAGGCTGCAGGAAGCGGCGCGGGCCAAGGGACGTGCTGGCTGCCCTTCCTGCAGCCCCCATTGGCCCGGAGCAGTGAACCGCGGCCAGTGGGAGCCACGATCGGCCGAACCTGTGGACGTGACAGGTAAACAAACCGGCCCGGACCGCCAGGGGCTTTCCCTGAACAAGCGGCGGCCCTAGTTTGAGAACCACTTGTCTAGAGGAGAATAAACTGAGGGGCAACATAATAACAGTCTTCAAATCTGTAAAAGGTTATTATAAAGATGATGGTGATCAACTGTTCTACATGTCCACCGAGTGTAGGACAAGAAGTTATCAGCTTAGTTTGCAGCAAGGAAGATTTAGGTTAGATATTACGAAAAAGAATATTTAAGCACTGACACAGGTTATCTAGGGAGGTTGTGGAATCCCTGTCACTGGAGGTTTTAAGAACAGGTTAGACAAACACTGGTCAGGGATGGTCTAGGTATACTTGGTCCTACCTCAGCATGGCAGGAAGGAATAGATGACTTCTTGAGGTCCCTTCCTGCCCCACATTTCTATGATTCACTATGAAACACTGGCATCTTAGTATACAATGATACCATCTGAGGTTTGGGCCCAGTGTGTCCAGATCCTCATCCCACTCAAGTCAGTGAGTGGGGAGAATCCTACTGAATTCTGTAGGAGCAAGCCCAATGTGTTAATTTTTCATAGGACTTTACTAATTTTTTCTGAAGAGATTGCTGCCTTTTGAATGATTCTTATAGCACAACTAGCAATATAATTGGCAAGAATTTCTGAATGCATCTCTTCGTTCCGGCTGAAACTAGAAGTTGGCAAGAGATGTGAGTAATCTAATAGTGCTCTAAGGAACCCTGAACTACAAGCAGTAGAAAAAAACATGGTGAGCTGAATAACAATGAAGATAATGTTTCCTTGTATGCTTCAATACAATAGTTAATATGTAAGCATAAGGTAATTTGCATTGCAAATCTTTAAACTCATTGTAATCTTTGTGATTTACTGATGTAATAACAAATGAAAGTCCTTATTACATATAATGCAAATGCCCAAACCATCCCTCTATTATTATTTTTACAAGACCGGTTCTTATTAAAAGACTGAATGCAAATGGAGCTTTTTAAATTAACACCATTTTTCTCTGAACATTGTTTATAAAACTATTTCCTTCAGTTAAAAATCCAGGAATGAAACTTAATCCTCATCACAATCCTACTTTTTTTAAAAAAAATATGAATCATAATATTATTATAACACCAGCATTTTATCTGCCTTATGGAACAACCAGCTTTTCATAGAACAACGGAGTACTTTTTCAGTCCTATCCTCCCCTTCCCCCAGTTAGTTAAAGATTGGGTCTCATCCTGCATTCCTGAGCATCCAAAGCTCCCAGTGATTTCAAAGGGAATTTTGAATACACAAGGAATACAGAGCTGGACTTGTAGTGATCTGATCATATGTGGTAGAATACAAGCTCTTTAAAAAACCAATTTACACTGAAAGTGTATAATGCCCTCAGAGCCCCTCTAGTCACAGCAATCTTTTGAACTGAGAAAATTGTGGCTCTTTATGTTATCACTATATATAGCTTCTTCCCATAGTCTGATCCATAGTGTAAAATTGATTTTACACCTGTAAAAACAATGGCTTTACTATTAGTGTTATATTTGTGTATAGCTTATCTGCATTATGAACTAAAATGTTGTGGGGTGTCTTTGCTA